TCCCCCCTCCGTCTCCTCTTTTCTAAGCTGAAAAGTCCCAGTCTCTTTAGCCTCTCTTCATATGGGACCTGTTCCAAACCCCTGATCATTTTAGTTGCCCTCCCCTCTCCCAGCCTCTCTCTTCCCCTCTCCCACCTCCTTTTCCCAGTCTCCCCGAGTTTTGTTCAATAAAGAGAGTTTCTATTTTTGAACACACGTGTCCTTTATTTTGTACATCAGGAAGGGGGGCTAGAGAGAGGTAAGTGGAAGGAGGTGAGGGAGGAATGGGGTACGAGCCCCTGATGGGGAGGACTGGGGTGGCTCTGCGGGCTCCTCGGGGTGGAAGCTCTTCTGCAGCCCCCCAATTGACTCCCCCCAGATGGCAGTCTGTGGCAAGTGCAGCTGGGCTGATGGCCGGGTGCTGTGATGTGCTGAGTGTGGGCACTCAGGGCACTTCAAGACAGGACTGTTTTGCAAGCGGGTCACCCCTGAGTACTGTCTGTCCAGGGTGGGGGTCGGGTCCCTTTAAGCGCAGCCCTCGGCTAGCCTGAGACAGCAGCTCCACACTCTACGTCCTAACCTGATGCCCTGCCGGCACTGCTTCCGGCCAGCCTTAACCTCGGTTCAGGGTCCACTCAATGTGGACATGCTAGTTCGAATTAGCAAAACACTAATTTGAACTAGTTTTTAGGACTTGATGCGTTAGTTCGAATTAGCTTAGTTCGAATTAACTAATTCGAACTAAGTTAGTTCGAATTAGTGCTGTAGTGTAGACATACCCTAATAGATTTATTGGAGCATAAGCTTTCATGGGCAAAGACAGATAAATACATTACCTCTCAGTAATAAAGATTCTTCTTCTGATCTTTTTTTCTTGGACGTCTTCCTCTTGGCTATAAGAAGAAGAATAAAAATTTTTGGTGTGCTGAGTAAATTGTTGGAGTGTCAGAGCGATCCAATAAACAGACACTCACCAAAGTGCTTTTATTATGCAAGTAGAAAACATAAGTACATTTTATATTTATTATACTATGCCGGGATACCAGAGGTATCCTAGAAAAGTTCTGCCATGTCCAAGAAACACTTCCAAAGTTTCAGAACAGTTTCCAAAAAAGCGGGTTCATTCTTTCACCATCCCTGTATTCCTGATTAAACGATGAATAAGGGATGTGTCAAAAGAGGAGTTTTCACAAAATTTGGCCCAGTATAGACAGGCAAAATTTCATAAAAACCTCTTTTGGCAAAAAAAGCAGAAAAAGATATACCAATTGCGGTTTGCAATTTGAGTATCTTTTTTGAAGTTTTCTTTGCGGTGCAGACCTAGCCTTAGTTTGTCCATGGCAGTAAACATTATGCACAATAGTTCTTCCAAAATCAGGCCTCAAGAAGACTTTGCTGTTAATCCCTCATTTTATTTTGGAAATTTTATCTATGAAATTCATCAATTGGAAAGACACAAAAAAATCTGTGATCATTCTAGTCTCACCTCCTGTATAAGTAAGACCTTGGAATGTCAAATAAAAGTTCATTACAAAAAATTCTGACAAATACACTCCCACGTCTAGTGCTTACTACTGTTTGTGATATTACTGAAGTCCAGTGAAATTGGTTGGACTATCCATGGCAGTGAGCACTACACACAACAGTTTTTCAACGATCATGCTGCAGCTCCCTCATTTCAATTGAATATAAAATTCACAGATTCCAAGGCCAAAAAGGACTACTGTGATCATCTAATTTGATCTATATAATGGAGGCCTTAGAATTTCCCCTTCCAAATTCTTTTTGGAACTGTAGCAGATCACTAAGAAAAATACCTAGCCTTGATGTAAAAAAAATTCAGAGAGAGATAATCTACTACAATGTTTGGTAAATTGTTCCAATAGTTCATTACCATGACTTTTAAAAATGTAAACTGTAATTACAGTCTGAATTTATGCACATTAATCTTCCAGTCAGGGCTGGTGACAGACTTCTCCAAGCCTTGGGAAAAGGAGGCATGGGGGCATCTCTGATCGGAGCCCCCTGAAAGGGGGGAAAAAAGGGGTCTTAGAGCTAGTCTCTTACACCCAGTCCTCAGTGATGCTTGGATCATGGCACTTGGGGCTCCGGTGGTGATTTAAACAGCCTTGGGCTGTTACTGATGCTGCAGCAGCTGTGGTGGCAGTCCAGAACCCTGGGTCCTTTTAAATTGCAAGGCTCCTGAGGCAGCTGGCCCCTTCCTTCCCACTGCCATCAGCAGCCTTAGTTTTAAATATTCAATTTTGATATACCTTTCTCTGCTAGCCTGAAGAGCCCATCATGGAATGTTCCCATGTAGCTTATGGAATGCGAGATCAAGTTACCCCTTAACCTTCTCTGTTAAGTTAAATACACTGAGCTCCTGGAATCTGTTCATATCAGGGATATTTTCTTACCCTTCGATTATTCTCATAGCTCATGTCAAACTCTCTGCAATACAACAACATTCTTGAATTGTGGATACCAGAAATGGACACAGGAATCATGCAGCAGTCACACCACAGCCAAATACAGAAATCAGAGAATCTACTTAGCCCTATTCAAACCACTGGAACCGACAGCTTTTAAAACATCTTCTTCTGGTACTAGATGTTAATCTGAGAACAACAAATATTAACATAAAATCCGGAAGTCATCTTGAGCACCAACGAACACTATGTAGGTCAGTTTAATGTGCTATATTGGCATCAAATCGTTATAATTTTGGGAAGATTGTTTCCCCCTCTGTGGATGGATTTTAAACATGCAGATAACACACTTACTTGTGTATCCTAAATATGCACAGACACCAATTGCGAGAAGGTCTACAATAAATAACACCCAGAATGCAGTGAGCCATGGAGACACACGAGGGAAAATATCACCTTTGAAAACAAGATATGAGCAATGTTACTCTGACACATGCCATCTCTTCCTCATCCTTAGAAACAATGGGTTCAGAGCTAGGGTTGTGTGCAGTACAGGAGATGATGGGTTTTACTGGACATAATACTGGCTAGATCCAGAATTAGTGTAAATTGCCATTGATTTACACCAGCTGATCATCCAACTCTTGAGCAGCAGCTGACAGATTGGATATTCCAAATGTATTCTTGCTCTTAGCCTTAGTGTTTTCTACAGCCTGGCTTCTGACAGCCTTACTCCCAGTGAATTGTGTGTTACTCTTTGAAACCAGTGGGGCTAACTTCAGATTCATTAGCTATGTAGTGTCAAGTGTCAGGGAGGGGATTGTGATTTGGTCCTAGCTCCTTAACAGTTTTGGACAATGATAAGTGCACTGATCCACATTCCCAGCTGACACAGACTGGTCCTGCTCCATTGTAGTCAATGGACCAGATACCAGATCCTTAGCTAGAATAATTTGCACAGCTTTAGCAAAGTCAGTAGAACTACTGTCGTTTACATCACCTGAAGTTTTGTCCCATTGATTCTAGAGCTCCAAGATGAAGAAAATCATATTCAACCCCAGCCCTTCATGAGCAATTAACATTCCTGCACATTCTCCAGTGGTAACATTAACTCCTGGGTAGGTGGCCAGCTCAAGAACTCTTGGATTTAGGTAGGACTGATATGGTTTATAACCTTTGTTTTGGCCATCTGCACTGTGGGAATTGTAGCTCAACAGAGCATTTCCTGACATACTGGACTGACTGCTATTTCACACCAGTTTGGAGTCTCCATTGCTGATTTGCATACACATGGGGACAGGAGTCAGATTTAGAAGGAGATGTCTTGTGAGAATAACAATTAGAAGTTGGCCTCCTACTGCTGCTAAACAACTGGGTGATTTAGCCAATTTCTACTAAGTCACCAGAACAGTGAAACAGGTGGTGAGCCAGGATAACTGATTATTAGTAACAATCATCTCCAGTACTTAGAGGCTGTGTCTAGACTGGCAAGCTGTCTACATTGGCTGCTTGAATTTGCGCAAGAACACTGACTTTGTAATGTACAAAATCAGTGCTTGCGCAAATACTTTGACACTCCCATTCAGGCAAAAGCCATCTTGCGCAAAAGCTTTTGCACAAGAGGGCCAGTGTAGACAACCCATTGTTGTTTTGCGCAAAAAAAGCCCCGATGGCTAAAATGGTGATCGGGGCTTTTTTGCGCAAAACCACATCAAGATTGGCAAGGGATGCTTTTGCGCAAAAGCATCTGTGCCAATCTAGACACGCTTTTGCACAAATACTTTTAACGGAAAAACTTTTCTGTTAAAAGTATTTGCATAAAATCATGCCACTAGACATAGCCACACAGCATATTTTACCAGGGGAATCTCAAAGGAGAGCAACATCATTATCCCCATTTTACAGATACAGAAACTGAGGCACAGGACAGGGAAGCGTCTTGCCCAGGGTAGGACACTGGCAGAATTGAGAACAGAACCATGTCTCCTGAGTGCCATTACAGTGTTTTCTCTACTATGTCAAGCTGCAAGTAAATGCAACCTCTTTATCTGTTGACTTTTTCTCCCAGCTCACCCTTTTCCCAATTTTCTTCTTCTTCTAATCCTACCCTTTGAGCTCTCTGGGGCAGCAACTGTCTAGTTTAGTTATTTGTACACCAACAATGAGGCCTTTCTATCAGTTCAGGGCAGTGTCTGTTTGAGTTAATCACATAGCTGTGTGCTACCCCATTTCTATTTCAATGGTACAGACACTGGAACTTTATGGGCCATGACTCTGGACATAGAGGCAGCTCAAGATATGATGAAAAAGTCACCTGAAAGGAGAATGATAGACTTCTGCTCTGTTTTCAGCAGTCTGTTCTGGATAACACAGCTGATTTCTCCTGTTTCCTCTCCCAGCACTGTGACATGGCTCAGAACATTGAAGAGACGTTCATGGTCCTGGTCCATTTTCGTCACGGCCTGCAAATCCTGCCCCTTCTGTGTCACCCATTGGACTTCAGGTTTGGGGAACCACCCTGCTGACCTGCAGGCTAGTCTGATCCCTTGGTCCTGGGGACCCAGCACGGCAATGGACACAGGAGCATCAGCTAAAACAAAACAAAAGAGATTAGGAAGGGTCTACTTTCAGGGAAGTAACACGGTCCCTTTGTTTTGGTTTTATTTTTAACTCAGAACTTTGTCTCAGTTTCTGTGTCTTTGTTCCTGGAGTTCACAGACATATTTCATCTGCTTCGCTTGGTAATTCCAGATTCTAGTGAGTCTCCACAAGAAGGGTGCATCTACACTACACTGTTATTTTGAGATAACAATGTCGGAGTCTACACAGCCTTACTGTTATTTTGAAATAATTTAGAAATAACAGACAGCTTATTCTCAAATCTGTAAACCTCATTCTATGAGGAATAATGCCTATTCCAAAATAGCTATTTCAAAATAAGGCAAGTGTAGTTGCTCCACTGGTGCTATTTTGAAATAGCCCCTCGCCAGGGCCATTTTAAGTTATTCCTCCCCAGTGCCTCCTGGGAGTCTAAATGGAAGTAGCACATCTACATTAGGGAACTCTGCCTTGGACTAATTTTGAGGCTTCCCTATAGTGTAGACGTGATATTTCAAATTAAGGTATTTCAAAGTATTTCTTCCCGAATAGCTTATTTTGAAATAAGCCTGCAGTGTAGACGTACTCAAAATGTCAATGTATACAACAGCCTGTGCCAATACTCAGTCCAGTCTACACTCAAAAGTGAGGCAAACCCAGCTATATTATGAGGGAAGTGAAAAATCCACCCCCTTCAGTGATGTAGTGAAGTGGACCTGACCCCAATGTGGACAGCACTAGGTTGATGCAAGAATTCCTTCTGCTATCTTAGCTATCAGCTCTCAAGAAGGTGAATGATGGGAAAACCACTCCTGTCACTGCAGTGTGTGTCTACATTGAAGTGCAGACAAGCCCTTAGACTGGGCTCTCACAGGGTGGGCCTGTTTCAGAGCTCCCCAGGCCCTGCACTTTGTGGAAAGGATGGAAGACTGAGGAAACTTTAAGCCATCTTCACTCTTTGTATTCTGGGGCTAGGGAGAGCCTGACAAGCCCTCTGGTGTAAGTTAGAGCAATTGGTCCCTAAGTGTATGTCTACACTTGCACCCTCTTTCGAGAGAGGGATGCAAATGTAGACATTCGAAATTGTAAATGAAGTCAGGATTTAAATATTCCGTGCTTCATTTGCATATTTGCGGATGGGTGCTATTTCAAAATACTTTATTTTGATGTGGTTATTTCAGGAGAAAACCCTTCTTCTGAAATGACCCTTACTCCTTATAAAATGAGGTCAGGACACTCTGAGGAACAGGGCCTGGAGTACCTCCTGGCATTTACACAACTGCACAGAGTGACAAGACTTATGCCCCCCCCACCCACACACACACACACAGCATAGCTGCATCATGGACACACAAAATCTGACCCAGTCCAATGAAATCACCCACCTGCAAGTTGAAGCTCAGTGGTGGTATCTGCGCTCCAGGCGTTGGACTTCACAATGCAGCTGTACGTTCCCTCATCGGCTGGTTGGACATTCTTCAGCCTCAAAGACACATTCCCAGAGATGAATCCATCCTTCCGGAGCACGGCCCGGCCCTGGTACATCGGCCCTGTTCCATCCTGGCCTGGCTGGGGTTGGTATCCATAGACAACCTCTATATGTGCCTGAATAATTTTCTTCCACTGCACCTCCATATTGTCCGGCTGCTTCCCCGTGGAGATCTGGCAGGGCAGGACCACATCCTGGCCAACAATTCCAGTGACAGTTCGGGACGAGGTGACCTCAAAACTCCCTGGAAGAAGCAAACCCAAATGAGGCCGAGTCTACATGCTTGTGCTAGGTTGAGTCTAGCTGGCCTGGCTAAAAAGAGCAAGGAACACAGAATGGCATCAGCATCAGTGTCACATATCTGCCCAGAATCCTGGGGACATTGTCACATTCCCAGCTCACACTGGGGTTCATGCTATTGCATCTTCAATGCCATTTTTTTACCAAGGGTACGTCTAGACTACAGGGTTTTGTCGACAGAAGTTTTGTCGACAGATACTGTCAACAAAGCTTCTGTCGACAAAGAGCATCTAGACTACATACAGTTCTGTCGACAAAGCAAGCTGCTTTGTCGACATAACAGTGTGGATGCAAAGGACAGTTTACATGCAATAACACCTTCTGTCAACAGAACTCTGTCGACAGAAGGTGTTATGCCTCGTAAAATGAGGTTTACCAGCGTCGACAAAACTGCTGAGTTCTGTCGACGTTATGTCGACAGAACTCAGCGGTAGTGTAGATGCAGGTATAGTTTTGTCGACAAAAGTCCACTTTTGTCGACAAAACTCAGTAGTCTAGACACACCCCAAGATAGCTAGAGTCAAGTGATCAGGTTTTCCTACTTGATCTGCAATCAGTCCTCTGACATTAGTGTGATCGTATCCTGAGCCTGTGTTCCAAATACAATTGATGGTGTCAAGAATGGCCACGAATTTCAAAGGGTAGGACAGGAATCTAGCTACACAAATGAAAGACTAAAAATACTCTACAAATATGTGCTTGATTGCAGAATTCTGCAACAGTACCATGGCCCCAAATGCCAACAGTTGCAGAATTCCAACTGGAGTATATTGTTAATTAGTAATAAGGATCTAATATTGTTCTTCTAGACATACCCTTAGTGTTCTATGCTATTATGCTCCAGAGGAATGTTTAACTGACAGAGCTTTTACCTGCAAAGGGAATTGCTGACAGGACAATGGCACAGACCAAGCAGCTGACAGCGTGTGCCTTTCGCTCCATGCCTCTGGTTGCTCATGTGGAGAGTCCCAGGGGCAGATCTGAAATGAGAGCAGCAATAGAAACAGAAACCGGTACTCAGAGATCCAAGGTAGCTGATTTCTCATTACTACCTTTGCAATGCACCAGGCTGGGCCTTCCCTTCCTTCTCCCCGTCGCTGAACATTGCAGGAAAAGCAGAACAATGGGGGAGGGTATCACTGTGTCCCAGCTGCCTGAGGGTGAGTGCAAGGGGATACACATGAGAATCTTTGTTGTGGTGCAAGGGACATTCACTATCATTGCCCTAGTGCCCAGCGAGGCTATGTGATTCCAGCACTATTGATGCCCAAGGGCTGTGCCAGGCACCGATTCTCCCATAGACACCATGGGCCAGAGATGCAGGGTGTGTCTAGGCTGCAATCACTGCCCATGAGCTCTTTGTTCTCCTAGCTCGAGTCCTGGAGCAGTGAAATTACAGCAGCACAAGCTTCAGTCCTGGCTGCACAAACCAACCAAGCACCCGGGGTAATTGCATCCAGGATTATCTGGTGCTTCACTGCTCCAGGACCTGAGCTAGTGATATTAAAGTAAGCTCAGGCATGGCCCCTTGAGCTGTAATCCTGTTCCGTGGCCACAGCACAGACATACGCTTATCTGCACCTAGTTACAGCTGGATGTGCTTTGATGATGTGGCCGTTTAGAACACTAAAGAGCCAGGTGCAGCTTCCCTAATTCTGGTCCAGTTCTATGCCAGCCCTGAGGCTGCTCTAAGATCTGGTGCCAAAGGGCCATTATATCAGCTAAGATTAGCTGGAGTTTTAGTGGAATCCAGCAGTTTTGCAGCCCCTTTGCACTTGCCAGAGCTTTTAGAATTTCTGTTGTCAGAGGCTGTGCCTTAAAGTCCATCTATGCTGCAATAAAAGCCTGAAGTACAGCCACAGCTGCGGTTTGGTTGTGGGCTATAGATTGTCATGTAGCTGTTTGGACTCAGGCTGGAGACCCAGCTATGATATGCACTGGGAGGAGTGGGTCTCAAGCTTAGCCTCCAGCCTGGCCCTGAAGGTCTACAGGGGCAGTAGACATTGGTTGTGTAGCTCAGTGGTGGCGTGATTGATGGTAGATCAAGTGATCCTTGGTTCAAATCCAAGTGAACCCTTAAAACACTGTCCCTATATGAAGCAATTTGCCAGAGGATGTGGTGAAGTCTAGGACCCTAATGGGGTTTAAAAAGAGCTAGATAAATACTTGGAGGTTAGGTCCATCAATGGCTATTAGCCAGGCTGGGTAGGAATAGTGTTCCTACCTCTGTTTGTCAGGGCTGGAAATGGGTAACAGGGGAGGGATCATGTGAGGATTCCCTGCTCTGTTCACTCCCTCTGGGACATCTGGTATTGGCTAATAACAGCAGGTAGGACACTGGGCTGGATCAACCTCCAGTCTGGCTGTTCTTATGTTATGTAGTGCACTTTGTAGGTTATGACCTTGAGTCAATTGACCCAGTCTCTGAATCCTGGTCTACACCAGGACTTTATTTCCAAATAATCCCCCCCACCAGGTTGAATTTATAAGCGAAGCTGTGTCACTGCCAAGTAAATTATTTTGAAATAATGGGACATGGAATTTGAAATCTGTACCCCTGGTTTTCATCAGGAGTAACACTGGTTTCAAAATAGTTATTTCAAAATAATGGTAGTATGGATGCTCCATTGCTGCTAATTTGAACTAATTACTCCCCAGAGTAATTTGAACTAATTACTCCCTAGTGCTTTGTGGGGGTCTAAATCAAGGTAGCATGTCCATAATTTAGACTAATTTCAAACTAATTTCAAGGTGTACTCCTAGTGGGGACATCTTATTTTAATTTTGTTATTTCCAGAGTTATTAAGTTGAATTTAGTCATTTGAAACACTTTCCTTCTGTAGACTTGGCCTGCAATTTGGTATTGTGGGCTTTTATTGTAGATATGTCCACACACACACAATTCACTAAAAATTTACATTTGTCATCAGCAAAAGAGGTTTGTCTACACAGCGTCACAGAAAAATTACTCCAGATTAGCAAAATGTGTGAATTTAAAACGAATTTGTTAAACTGAATCACAGGTGATTCAAGATGCCCCACACAGACAAGCGCTACACCAGGAAATGTTTCTTTAGTTTCAGTTAATATGGTCATTGTTGAGCTGCTTTCTGGGTCCATATATCTTTCTAGAAAACTACATAATTTCTGGAGAAACCATCCTTCAGCCTGTTGCAAAATTAATGTCTGAAACAAACAAACTGATGCTGAATATTTTAACCCCTGAGGTCCAAATTTCATCTGCCTTTTCTTGGGTGTGCAGGAAGGGGAAAAGAAGGAAACAAAGAGCTCCTCCTACCCACTTCTCCTGGCACCCATGTAGAAAGCACATGTAGGTTGACTGTAAAAAGCTGAAGACACGAGGGGGAAACAACTGGCCTTGAAGTCAGAAGGGGTTGGGGTTTCCCCACATTGCCTGCATTTGGCTGTCTGAGGAAAATTATCCTTTGACCTTAGCCTTGTGGTAACATGGGCAATATGGACTTGACTCGTGCGAGCTGGTACCCTGCACTATGAACAGTCCCAGTGAACTCAATGGCCACAAGTTTCTAAACTGACTGTTGATTTTGGGTGTCCAACCTGGGAGACTTTAAGAAGGCCTGATATTCAGCGCAGCAGGTCCCCATTATGCTATGACATACAGCCCCCTCTGAGGGCTCTCACACTGGGGTCTCAAGATCCCCAATCCATTTTGATACACTTGTCCAGGAAAACCACCAGTGGAGTGAGGTGTAACATCACAAGAGTTGAAGGGGGTAGCTGAGTTAGTCCGTACAGGATAAACTTTAAAAACAACAAATGGTCTGGTAGCACTTTATAGACTAACAAAACATGTAGATGGTATCATGAGCTTTCTTGGGCCCGGCCCACTTCTTCAGATGACTGGCAAGAGTGACAACCATGGAATAAGGTGTTGTTCATGGGGTCTGCTCCTACAGCTTGTCTCTGCAGAACCCTGGTGGTATTTTTCACCAACAACTTTTTCACTCTAAACTGACCATTCTTGAGCACAACATCTGGCTGAGCATGAAGGCTGTGGACATTTTTGTAGGCCTTTCGACTTCTCCCCAAATGGAGTGCATGTAACAGAGACACTGGATAAAATTCAATGCAGATATTTCATGGTGCTAATGAAGATTTTGACTGATCACATTGCCTGCCACTCCTGTCCTCCTTCTGCCTATCTTCTCTTTCAGCGGGGCGGTTCCTGGACTTTGAGCTCCCCCATGTGTTTATTGCTGCACTTTCTGCAGTCTTATCAATGCCAGTGTCCATATATCTTAGTTATTTTACTGTCAGCTCTGTTTACTATTTGTTGTATTAAGTACACAGTACAGAAGGTGCGGCACATCCTGATACTGGCTAACCCTCCTCTAACGCCTGACACTGAGGTGTATAAATGATCTCCTTGTGCAGACAGCTAAGAAACTCCACAAAGTTATTGAGTGGTACTAAAGAGGGGGCTGTCAGGATAGCCAGGGGTAACCAAAAGCTGTTTCTTTTTCTTGTATCTCATTGAAAAGAACATCTAATTCTTTGTCACATATGAGAAAAGTCCAACAGAAAAGTACTAGACATTATTGCTTCCTTTACATAGTTTTGATACAGGCTTATTTGGTCCCCAAGTAAGATTTGAAAAATGTCTAGGGGCACTCTGAATGGAGACAGATGGTTGAAACTACATTCTAGTCCCACATCAGAGATAACAGTGTACTTTCATCATGAGCAGAATGATTACTCAGAGTCACCAGAGTGAGATACTGAAAATGGGAGAGCATCTGTTACAGGCTCCCCTTCAGCAAAGTACCTACCCACACAAGTCCTTTTCTAAGTTCAGCATCTTGCATTGCTGAAAAGTGATGCTTTGCTCAACTGGAGACACTGTAAAGACACCTGGCCCTCTTCTCCCTCACCTTAGTCAGGAGAAAGGCAGAAAGCCAAATACAATGTTGTTGTGGTGGCGTATTGAAAACTGAGTTGAAATTATAATCTATCACTGTGCATTCTCAGGGGGTTACCTGGTCCTGTTTGCAGGCAGGTGCTCCAGAAGGAAGTGTGGGATTCAAATAAGTGAGTAACTAGCTCAGTGTTTCTTAAACTTTTTAAGGCTGAGGCACACCAAGCAATACATTTTTTATGAGGAACGCCAACGATTTATTGTTGAGAAAAAAAGAGGGGAAGGACATAGGTAAAGTTATTGAAGGGAAAAAATGGTGTCAGAGGAAAGTTATTGAGCAAAAAAAAGGGGGGGAAGGGTTGGGGGAAGTTATTGAGAAAAAAAGTCACCATTTAGGGGCAGCCATTTTGAATTCTGTTGTTCTCCATGGCACACCGGTGTGCCCTGGAACAGTTTAAGAAACAATGAACTAGCTAGTCTGCAGTATGGATGGATGAGTTAAACCTCTCTGTTTCAGGGAGTGTCCTGCTTTGTCTCTTTCTTTTTGGTTCTTAACTGTTATCTTCTGAATTCTAAGCAATAAAGTCATTTTATCTTGCAAGCTTCCAGCAAAAGTGTTTGTTTTTATTTAGCTTTCGCCATGTACGGCCTGAGCCTGATGATTCTACAACCATAGCTGTTTCAATCTGAAATAATATGTGAAAGCTTTCAGTCCATTTCACTGCAAGATGCTACAAAGAAGAGCTTTAGAGAGGAATCAGAGTTCTTGGATACAAGTTTTCTGTTCTGCTGGCTGTGTAATTATATTTAGTTACTTGCAATTTACGGCAGTGATGCCCAGACTCTAGCATCTAGACTACATGGCTCCATTCACAGAGCCATGTAAAGTAGTTTACTCAACATAGTCAAAGAAGCAAGGATTTAAATAATCCCCACTTCATTAAAATAAAAATGGCCACTGTGCTGTGAAAACGATCAGTTGATCCAGCACAGGCGGCAGTCTAGATGCACCTCTGTTGACAGGGGAAGCCTTTGTCGACTGCTCCGGTATGCCTCATGAAACGAGGTTTACAAGAGCGGTCG